GTTGTTTGAGCGGAACACAAAACGTAGCCCACAGAAAACCAAGTATCCAATCATTTTGACTTACATATGACCAAACTAGAATTTTCCATCTGCTATATGTGGTAGCAAGATCAGCATCTACTGAAGGATAAACGATAAAAGTTTCTTCGTTATTCTCATCAGTTTCCATGGTTTCCTCATCGATGGTTATGAAATGCTGAAATTTGAAGTTCAATTGTTTCATTTGTCGTGCAATTTTAAGTCACTAATCATTTGTTATTATTGTCACATCAATGCTATCAATTCCAAAACATTCTGAACACTCATTTGGTTCTCTATCATCCATCTTCTCTCCTTTCCCTAGGAAAAGAAGAAATTAAAAAATTATATCGTGTTAAAAATTACTGAAACTGGTTGTCACTATTTCTAATAGAAATATCAACATGAAAGCTGACCTTTACCGCATTTTCAAAATCCATATCCTTTGTTTTTAAAAGTATTTTTAACTTCAACAACTCCCAACATGAAAGCTGCTCACATGCTTGTATTATTGTCGATTTAATCCGTAGAATATTTTGGTTTTCCGTAATCATTACCACATTCTTGAAATAAAATTTTCAAAGGAAAAACAAAGTATATGCTAAAACAAAAAATGGAAAAATTGTTTTCTAAAGTAAAATCAAGTAACTATCTTATTTCATAGCTAGAATTTTCAAGGAAAAATAAACAAATTAAATTTTTTCACCAAACAATAAAAAGAGATAATAAGTACATACTCCCAGATCTTGTGCAATTTTGAACCAAGCACAATCACCAGGAAGTAAATATAATTCCACTGAACGATTACGCATAGCCCGTGAAACGTCGCCGTAATCATCATCCATAGTGAAAAAAACTCTAAATTTGTGAAATTAATTAAAATTGCTATCAGAATCTGCACAGTAAGACGTCAAAAATGTTTTCAGTACCATGCTTTTTATTAAAAAAAATATCTTCGAAGTCAGAAAAATGAGGACTTTCTATCTCTCAAGTTTCAATAATATTTCAACATACCAACTAATCATCAACGACAAAAATGAAATTAACAAATAGTAACCGGAAATCATTGTGTGCTTCTACGACAGAAGTACCACTACCACATTCTTGTAAATTCAATTCCCTTTTATTTTCCAAACAAGCATTCAATCGATCCAGTACTGCTGCACTGAAAAATAAAAAAGCAACAATTAATATAAGAGGATATCCTTGACGAAACAACTAAAAACATAATGCAAACTTAGTAATTAAGATGTAAGTAACCTGCAACAATTGACATTTTTAATCAAAATCCAATAACCATTAATAAATGCATCTACAAAACGACTGTTAATCCATTCAAAACGCATTTTACTTTTGCCCAGTTCTTTATCGTATTTTGACAGTTTGCTAGCAATATCTGTAAAATTGGTATTTAAAAACCTTTTGTGAGAGAGAGCAAGAATAAAATATAAGTAGCACAAATTAATTTCTGTTTAAGAGTGTAGAATACACAAGAAAAAAGCTCCAAAATTTAAAAAAAACAAACTTTTGTCGACGAGAAGTATTGCGCTTTGCAAAGCTAGTCGTAAAGTAAGTATATCTTCAGCGTCACTTACATCATTCAACAAATCGGGAAATTGTTTAAGCAAATTCAAACAATGTTGCTTTATGGAAGTAAAATTGATATAATCGGTGACCTTAATATGCAGACATCTTATTCTTGGATTGAAAAATGTGTAAAACTGCTAATGAAAATTATTACTGTAATCAAAATATCTAATAATTTAATATAAAAAGAATACGCTAACGTTAATAAAATCATGAATTTTATCCTTACAGAAAGCTGATTCTAACAAGTTTTTATAAGAAGATTAAATAGCATTAATTGCTCGGTATTTCACCGAAGCAAAAAATTAATTACGAATATTTGAATTCAAAATTTCTCGCAACCTGCTCAAACGATCCAAGAAGGTCGAGTGAATCGGATTCCGAAGTTAGATGTATTGTATAAAGCTCCTTTCCAAGTAAGGATGCTAGGATGCTTACAGCTGTTGATTTGCCAGAACCAGCTTTCCCGACAATTAAAGCAAGCCAATTCATTTTCACACAAACGGCAAGTTTATTCAGCAATTTCATTTGTGATGAGAGTAATTTCCTGAAGAATAATTCATTTAATTTCGTTTCAAATCCCGTTAGTTGAAATCACCTTCAAAAGAAATAGGTTAAATTAGACTACAGAAAATTAACTCAGACGCAATGAGTTTAAAAGACAGGAAAATAAAATTTACATATTTTGTCGTTCACGGATTGTGTTTGATCGTTCTAGTTCCACTTTTCCGATATAAACATATGAATCAATAAATGAAAGCGATGCTACGGTTTCAATACATTCAAATTTGAAGCATTCATAAAATAACCTTCGCATCTGTAATGTTAATGATAGAAAGAGAAGAAAAAGAAAAAAACACATTGTAGCGATCTACGAAACTCAAAATTCTGTAAATCAGATGAGTTTTATTATAAAGATTCTATACTAATAAGTTCTATATTACAATACTAATTATTCTCGATGTATTACACCAGCCATTTTTTTTTGATTTTTTAAAATGATCAAAAGAGCTGACAATGTCAAACTTACCTTTTGTCGATCAACATTACTACGTAATCGCCACACATATAATAAATCAAAACCAAATGCAACATCGCCGTTGTTCTACAAACATAAAATATTAAAAAAGAAAAATTAAAAAGTATTATACTTTCGCGTTTTCAAAAGCTGCTCCCATCTATCTAAGTGCAATACTTTCCAGCCAAACTTAAAATATCCGAGAATGTACTATCTTTTGCTTCTCTGGCGCTGCATTGACGGTGTCTTTATTTGTGGTTCAAAAAACGAAATGAAAAAAACTGCTTGACGAATACCTTCATATATATGAATACTTTCTGTTGATTTAAAGTGTGGTTTTAAATACCCACCGCAACATGCAATTAAACCTATGGGCCATAAGTGATCCGAGGCTAAATCCATCGAAAATCCGGAAAGTCTCAGGAAGTTCAACTTTCAAATAAAAAAATATTTTAACTTAATTTTAACTTACTTCGACCGTTAATTGTGCCCATCTTAACAAATCACGCAAATTGAATTCAAATGGCGATCCCTTTCTTAGGAATTGTGGATCTTCTGCTATAAGACTTGCTATTGACTTGTTCACATTAACCATACGTTGAACAATATCATCAACCAATACAGATCCAAATGAACTTTTTATAATTTCGAAAAAATCTGAGGTGTCCATTTCACTTATATAAATCTGCAAATTTCCTACCTGTTCTATACTTGTATATTATCAATTTAATCACTCAAAAACGAATCATGCAGATGTATCAAAAAAATCTGCTACAATACGCAAATATAACGATTCGTCCCGCTGTTAAATTATCGTCAACTTACAATTTCTGATAGTAAGAAAATGGCTGCACTATACTATATTAAAAGTTTCAAATAAAATGAGCAACCAGCGTTGCGGACAGTTTTCTAAAAAATTTAAAAGTCATGAAATCTCAATTTTTTTTGGAATAACAAAGAGCACATACAGATGTGAAGCGGTTAACAAATGATTTTGGTAGCTTTCGCCGATTGCCTCCTTGACTGCATGGATTTTGACAGGCAAAAAAACGTGTTTTCTTGTCATCAATATCAATGTCGAAAGTTCGGTTCAGTTCTGGTATGAAAAGATTGTGACGATGATCGAAGCATGCATTCAAACCTTCCAAAACATTTTGCGATGCCAAATTCATCTTAAATGAATCTAAATATATTCAACTTTCAAATGATTCAACCTACGAATCCAGTTCAACACTGCCTGATCGATTACCTTAAAGTTTATAAACAGCATCACATTCAAGCCCTATAATCAAGCATTGTATGAAAACCGGTCCCCATAAATTCACATTTTGGGTATGAAACATAGGATAAGCAATATAATTAGGAGGAATATATTTTAAATTTGATACTAATAATTCCAGTTTAAATAACTCTTAAATCTTTTAAAACATCATTTATAATTCCTGCATCAGTCTGTCAAAAGCATAGGTAATGTATGACGTATGCACTTATGATGCATGTGTAGAAAAAGTATAATTAAGATTATTCAATTTTCGACACCGAATATTAATTATTAACCTAAGCACTAATTAAGATGAAAGAACTGGTATTAAGAATACTTATTACGGAGTAAGCATGAAAAAGCTGTTATAAACATCAAAAAATTTGAAATCATTGAACCTCATCTAGAAGAACCCATTGGCCCGTTCTGATTGCACGCAAAATAGGTCCATCTCTCCACATAAAAGACGGTGTACCATCTGATAAAATAATCGGCACATCGCAGCCGAATAGATCTGCCAAATCCTGGAACATTTGTAAAATTTAAAGCAGCATGCTTTGCAAAGTTATTTGCTAGTGTAAATTTTCAATATCTTTAAATGCTTTCCAATAAAAATCGACTATGATAATCTTAAATTTGTTTCCTAACATAATAAGCGTTAAAAACAAAAATAAAACGGAAGAAAAGCAAGGAATTACCGTTTGTTCTGATAAATTTAATCGAATCAATGCATGGCCAGTTACAGCAGCTAAAGCAATAACAGTGGTAGATTTACCACAACCTGGAGGACCTTCAAGCAATATCGGTTTATCAATTTCAAGTCCACGTACAAGCCTATAAATATATTGCTATGTAAAAATTGCATTCTGAGTAGTACTTTGAAGAATCCCAATATAATCAATGCATGCATGAAATATGCGCAAAGAACATTTTTTCATCAGGTATACTTTTATTTTCTTAAGATTATGAATTATTCATTATTCATTGCTAAAACTCATCCTTCAGCGATTTTAAGCTTATAGTTAATAAGGAATCATATTTCAAAGTTTCATTTCATTAAGTGAAATGTAAAGGAAGAGAATAATTCTACTCAAAAAATATGTAGAATAAGACTAACTTAAAATAAAGCAAATTAAAAGATCAAAATATATAGAGCATCATTTTTTATTTGTTAAGTAGGCAACGATAAACCTAAAAATATTCTGCCTACAGGTTGGCGCATCAAATGTAAAATTTTCGGGCATAAATCGTTTGGCTTGCCCAAAAGAAATACGAAAATCTCCAACAATAAGACTGTGAGAATCTTTTTCATCGAAATACAATGCAGCTGGTAACAAAAGCGATGTTACATCATAGATGTTACCCAATTCCTGTTGCATAATTTGACACAGCTGCAAATATGAAGTTTTAAATGTTTTCCAAAGGGCATTTATTTGGATAGCCTGGAATCATGCAACCTAACTCTTAAGTAATTCATGCAAGTGATTTTAAAATGTATGAAAATAAATTAAAGCTAGATTTACCCTGAAATCGCAGTTTTCACTAATTCTACGGTAACTCTCTTTTTTGAAAGATACAAATGAATGAAAAATTGGATAAACTTTCGCAGAAAAAATTTCACTTTATCAATGGCTTTTCTCCTTAGGACATCACAATCCAAACTAATACGTGTCGATAAAGTACCAAAAGCATCAAAAAGAGTTGCCGAAAAAGCGTGGTAAATTGAAGAAAATGGTGAAGATCGTGACAGCGCAGCAATAACAAGCTGAGTAACTGCTACTACATCACGAATTGTTACTGTACTCCTGAAGGTTATTACGGATTTTATTCGTTTAATTTTCTTCCATGGAAACTTTTTATTACCAAATAGAAAAATTTGAATCGAAAATTTGAAGAAAAGCAAGTTGGACAAGTCCTACATTTTACCGAACTTTAACTTTCTATCTAGCATTTAATTCGCAATCATACAAACCTTAACAGATGAGAAAACCTGAGATTAAACCATAGCACAAATCGCACAATACATTTGTTAACTTTTAAGCGTAAATCATTTTCATTCAGTAGAGCAGTTGTACTCAGCAGTCGATCCACAATAGCAATCAAATCATCACCGGACACATCCGATGGACACCAAATTTCTGTGAATCGATTTCTCAGTGCTTTTGAGAGCTATAAAGAAATGATTAGAACTGATTGAACAATCCGCCTTGTCATTATTCATACTGAATATTTTTAATAACTCATTATAAAGTTCCAGAAATTTGCGAAAAAAGCAGATTCGCAAAAACCTGGAATAGAGTTTTCGTCTTTCGTCTAGATTTTGAACAATCCAGATATCACATTTGAAATCTTCAACAAAACAAACCTCTTTTTTACCATAATCTCCACCAGGATTCATAGTTGCTACAACATTGAAACCATTTTTTGCTCTTACTTCACCACCTGATAAACCGCCATCATTAAGAAGTAATGAACGAGATGGTTCCAACAAAGGGTTCAGTCGCTCTAGTACCTGAGCAGCAAAAGTAATTTCAGTAATTCAGTTAAACTAATAAGTGAAATTAAATCAAGAAAAAAACAGTAAAGAATAACAAACCGAGTCGGATGCTAGTGAGATTTCGTCGATGAGAAGTGGCCGGCCTTCTTTCATTGCTTGTACGACTATGCCATCCATCCATTTGAATGTACCTTCACCAGTTGGACGCAATGAACCTAGAAAGTCAGCAGCTTCTGTTTTCTCATGACAATTCAAAGCCAACAGCTTCTCCTGCAACATTTTAAACTATTATATTATGCAATGACTATTAAGTCTTAATAAATATATTTCCTCACGTTGATTCATAAGTTCCACTAGGCCTTCCCACAAAATAAAAAAATCACCTTCGCAAGCATCTGTGCAATCGTTGTTTTACCACATCCTGTTTCACCGATGAGTAGAACCGGTTCGTCAAAATTCCAACTTTGTGAAACCAAAACAAGCATCCTACGAATACTACGAGTTAAAACAACACTGTTTACGGCTGAACATGAATGAAATTCGAGCGGTAAATAGTCTGAATTACTGGCAAATAAACGCTCAACGTCTATTTTATGCCTCAAATTTTTTTCCAATATTTTTTTCACACACTCAACATCGACTGTATTACGACATCGTGCACCGAGCAATAAAAAACCTGCAATCCAACATTCCTTCAATTTTTGGTAAATGATTATTTCAAAAACGAGACAAGCAAATACAAGATCAGATATCCCTAAAGAAAACACTGATTCGTACATTAAAAAATATCAATAACTGAATACGATCAGTTTTTAAGTAATATCAATTTTTAGATCTTAAATAATATCAATTCTTAGGCATCAAATATTAGATTTTAATATAACTCAACATAAATCAAAGACTTGATAACTTTATTAAAGCGATATATGTAAAATGAAAAGAAAAACTCACCATGCTCAGCCAGACATTGGCGCCAGTCATCATGATCAGAACCTGCAAGTCGCTGTCCCCATCTGAATAAATCACGAAGCGTCATCAACCCATCACTAGCTGAGAAAACGCCAACTGCACTACGTAGAGCACGTAAGTCGCAAAATACCGAAACCATTGTTTGTGCAGCCGATGGCGCGATTTTACAACTGAAAAGAGCATTCAAAAAAGAATTTGATTTTGGTTCCTCAAATGTATTCAACAAATATCATCATAATGATGAGAAAGCAGTATAGAGTAAAGTGAAGCACGAAGTAATACACTGACGAAAGATGATTCAAATATTGAAGCACTGCTTAGCTTTACTCGACTTATCCCAAATGAACTAAATGAACAGCAGCATGATTGATAGATAAAGAGAAAAAAATTAACTCTGGTACAGTTTTCAAAAACTTTCAGAAGAATTACTTTTGCGACATAAGTTAATCCAACATCGTTGCACCGAATAATGAGGAAAGAATGACGGATATGATGAAAATTTTTAGTGTAATTTGAAAGTGGAACTTTGGAAATTATTGCTACCTAACGATGACCATTTCCGCCAATTCATTGTATGGCAGTTGGTCGAATCGCAGAATAACAAAACGATTGAGCAGTGCACGTGAGAGGCGTTTACGACCGGCGTAAATGCAAGCGGGATTTTGCGTTGCAAATAAGCGAAACTGAGGATTAGCTTTTATAACCGTGTTCGTTTCAGAAATGAACAATTCGCGATTATCGTCTAGCAACTGAAATTAGAACAATTGGACAAAGTAGTTTAAATCTCAGCATTTACAGTTCGAAAAGGGCGAACAGCTGATGGAAAAGGTCAAGGTCATATTAATTCGAAAAAAATCATGGAATTCACTACATAAAAAATTTTATCAAAAAACATACTCTATTCAGAGCTTCAATAACATCGGTTGGAGCAAGATTCAGTTCATCGAGAATTATCCAGTGTCCATTACGAGCAGCTTTTACCAATGGGCCTTCTACAAATACGAAACGACCATCACCATCTGGTACATAAGATCCTGTATATTCTTGAAGATCGGTATGTTCATGGTTATTAATCCGAATAACTGTGTTTCCCGTAATTTTGGCAAGGTGCATTACCTAAATATTATTCTTCTATAAGGTTTAAAATCAAACTTTAGAAATCCACAAATATTAAAAATTCCAAGCATAGATTTATGTTAATTTGTAGAATAGCAATCTGAAAATGCATAATCTAATAAGATATTTCATAATTACGACCACCTGATCCCAACTTTTTGCCTAGTCCAAAAACTTTAAAACTGGAATTCGTATGATTGCACAAAACCATTAATTTAATCAATTTCATTTGCAAATTCAAACTAACCATGGCTGTTTTCCCACATGATGTTTCACCTTCCAACAGCACTGGAAATTTGCCACTGCAAATGACCCGAGCAAGATGAGATAAGTTTTTTCGAATTGATGCTGTATAAACATAATTGGGATCATTTTGCGGTTCTGCACTTCCTTTTTCGATCCAATATCCTTCAACTTCACTATAAAAAAGAGCTATGAAATTATTATAAAAAATGGAAATTATAACTATATGAAGCAAACCGGAACCAGAAAACATATTCAACTTTTAAGGTAATATCTTTACCAAGACTTCTATCTGGTACATAAGATTCTGTATATTGATTTTTTTTTGAACTTGGAAACTGTGATGAAACAAGAACATTGCAGTTGCAAAACTAAACAGTTCTACGGCTATTTTCCTATGCTCACAGTTCAGTATCATTTCATCCACTGATCAATATCTCCAAGATTTCACAATGTCATGTTCTGTATGTCATTTATTCATTACTTGTATTGTCATAAATCAGTTGCACATACTAAATGACTCAAAAAATTAAATGAAGGTGGAGTAGAGCATAATTAATGAATTATATTAGTGATGCATACATGCGATCATTGGTAAATTTTGTCTTCATTTTACCCAATGAGATTTTGCCCATTTTACTTTGAATAAGTTTTTCAACCATTGTTTGAGCTTCTGCATTTAGATCGCTCATAAAGGACATCGATACTGCTTCATATATGTTACGTATATCACTTTCAAAGATATTTTCTGCCGTGAATGTCAACGCACGACATAAAGTCCGTAAGCTGAAAAAACTAGTATGTAAAAACATTTCAGATATTCTTTGCAAACGGCGATTACAGCAAAAATGCTACATTAAATTTAATTAGCTTAAAAAGTAATGTCTTAAAACAAACCTATATTTTCCGGGAAAAGCTATGCGCAATATCTGATAGAGTTCTAGCACCGTGGATATTTTTGCAACATCAAATGACGGAAGATAAGCTTGTGCAATGACATGTAGTTGTTCTATATCTTCAGTTTCATGTACGAAAATTTCAGTGAAGCGACTTCTGCAAGAACATAAAACGTCAATGATATCGTTAAAATTATTTTAAAAAATTACAAAATTTTTTCCAAAAATCTCACCTTATTCCAGCTGGTAGGTTTCGTTTCCCCACATCATTGGCAGGATTCATACAGGCAAACAAACAAAAATCTGGATGTTTACTTTCTGAATCCTCAATCAAGTGTACTATAGAATCTAGACATTCCGGTGTAGCTAAATTAATTTCATCAAGCAAAAGCCATTCACCTTGTTCAGCAGCCTAAAACAACAAAGGAGGGTTTTAATAAAGTATAATATCAAACCAAACAGCAAGGGAAGGACGCAACATCTTCAGATTAAAGAAAAGTAAAACTGAAAAAAGCAAAATCTTAAATAAGAATTTCAAAAACTTTTTAATGGTTTACTTTGGTGACTGCTCCATGAACATATGCAAATGAAACAGCCGAAGTTTTCAATGATTCTGCACAATGTTCTGCTCTAATAAGTAACTTCGCCCACAGCTTGAGAGAGTTATGTTTCAATGACATTTTTAGTGTACGACGTGCTGTTTCCGTGATTAATTTTGCATAGTCACTGTATCGTCCATTTGCCAAACACATCTATAATAAGTCTTTCGTTTGTTTTTCGCTCTCTAAAACTGCTCTATGAAAAGTCATATTACTAACACTCCAAATTTATTTTGGTATAATGTAAATATATCCATTTTATTTAACTTTACTTTGTATTAGCAATTTTTCATTTTGTTAAAATAAGCAGCTATTAAAATTTAAATCATAATGGCAATTTCGAATATTTACTACCAATTTCTGGAGACAATTCAGT